GTGCAACATGCCCTAGCCACAGCAAAGATGCACGTCGTGCAGAAACCATAAACGGTTCCCATTGAACCATTCTGCATAGTACTGCGTTGCTGAGTCCTTGCCGTCGAAGTGTGTATGTACGCATATTGAAGGCACGTCGCACCGCTAAACTGATGACTGATTGCAACCTGTGAATTTGACTTGCCTGCCATGCTCGTGTACGCACAAAAGTGAAGAGCACACCTTTGACTATAGCTTTCAAAACGCGAATCCGAACCGACAACTTGAGATCTCTTCTACGGGCATGTACCTGGCGACCTCTAGACCATGCAGACGCAACCTGTTCGACCCGTTGTACCCCTTGACGCACTGCGCGATCTGTGTCACTGTGTGGCCGGCGCGTTCCGCTAGTATGGCACCGACATGTTTGACTGTGGATGCTTCACCTGGACCTTGTACATCATATGGTGCGTGTGCCGTGTCACAGACCCTCAATCCTTCTGTTTTGTGCTCGTTAACCCGACCTGCGAAATGTGAAAACTGTATTCACGAAAAGGGGTTCGGCATGCCTGATTTCTTCCGCATCCCCGATAATTGCAGTATCGTCTGCATACGCAAAATCCCCAATGCGAGTCATTGTAATATTCCTACCTTCTTCATTTCTGTCCCCGCGTCTCTTAGCGATGCGACCATCAACTTTATATGTAACGCTGATACCTGGTTGGCACTCATGCGCAGTAGCGACACGTAAACGACGTACACGGTTCACTTCCATTAGCGAGTCATGGAACAAGTTGAACATGATAGGGGAAGACGGACATCCCTCCCGGAGCCCCGGTCGGGCACAAAACGAACCCGACACGGATCCCCCGCCCTAGGACAATGTACCAACTTTTCCACGTGCGTACACTAGATCAGCCCTCGAACATACCAAATTGTACCAGTGCCGGTACCTTTGGGTCTGAAACCACCTAGGGAAAACCGAGTAAGAAAACCCAAGGTAATTAACCGCCGACCACGCGGTTAACACCCGTTCCGATCTGGCCCGTACGCCCCAGGGAGAGTTCCACCGTACAGAACAGCGAAACCCAACCGCCCCAAGGTTTGGGCCAGACGGCGTGATGGATCAATTCCGCTCCTGCCTATACCTAAAACAAGACCCTAAAAAATTACCACAGCATCAACGTTACAAGAGACTCCCGACTCAAAAAACGTCGGGGAGGGATTAGCATACACTCGTGCTCCCTATGTCTTAATAATCCGCAGACCGCGTCGCGCATCGCTTTGTTCATTCACTGCATTCAACTATCACATGTCATGAAGTGAGAAACCGCACTCAGTGCCAGTACCGTGTGATTTGCCCAACCAAGTATCAAAATGAGGCTCTGAAATGCGGCCGAGTGTAAGTGCCCGCGGCTCGCCCACGTGGAGGTTGCGATCCATCATTGAGCCGCCCTGCAAATTTTGCGGCTTGACTTCAGGCGTGATGCATCTTACCTGACCATCGATTACTCTGGTGTGTGATTCGGAGCGGTTGAAAGATGCTGTGACTTTCAGGTCTGGGTACAGCTCTCTAAACCAGTGTTCCTTGAGCATCATAAGGAAAGGTGAGGTGCCCTCACTTCCAGTACGTGCGAGGCTGGCCCTACCGCGCCCTTGCTTTTTTGTGTATGGGTGCGGGCGGCTGTATGCACTGCGTGGATGGTGGACTCATATTGGTTGACCATACTGTAGCTCTTAAGTACTTGCATGCGCGGACTGCTGCTCTCCTTGTGTTTGGCCCATCTTCGGGCTGATTCTTGGCAGCTGTTGCCAGGATGTCTCTCGCTTCTTCTTCAGGCGACTGCTTGGGTTCTGTACCCGGTGCAGGTGCAGTCAGAGCGACGTCTTGGACTGGTACCTCTTTCGCGCGTGGCAGGTGGTCTGGGATTGGCAACGTAGAGTGTACCCGCCATCCATCAAAGAAGTATATACCAGGCAGGAACCGGATTTCTTGTTCTGGGCCAGTCTGTGCTACAACTTGCTCGGTGCGGGCTTTGTACAGTCCTGAAGGCAGACACACGTAGGTGGGAAAGGGTGTGCGGTCAGCCGCATAGGCACATAGGACGACTTCAGAGAATGGGAGAGTCTGCTCGGAGAGCCATTTATGTTGAGTCACTGAGCCTGTTTTAACTTCTTGGAGGCGCTCTCTGTTTAGCCAGCGAAGGTCTGCCCCCGCACCAATATAGACGGTATCTCGCCTGCTTCACTTTGTTCGCTTGCTGATCGTGGTATTGGTTGGCGATTGCAAGAAGAGGGAATTCCCAAGCTGGCACTGAATTCAGCGACCACCGGCTTAAGTGTGCGAGATTCTCTTGTGCTGGGTCAGGATCAAGTCAGGCCTCCCCCATGTCGTTTCTCCTCTTCGGAGGCCCCGGCCTCCCCCATGTCATTTCTCCTCTTCGGAGGCCCCGGATGCCATATGCAATGGTCGCAATCACCTGCGCCATGCCCATGAGCTCCATCATGTCTAGCGGGAGACAAGCAGGGTTAACGATTTGGACCGGGTAAGTCCGACAGTGATTCGGCCGAGGCAGTCTTCGGTATCTTCCGTAGCGGAACCATTGGAGTACTGGGGAGGCCCCAGCCAGCGGGTCTGATTTGGACAGCTTTCTGGACTGCTAAACTAGGAGTTGCTGCTGGCACTGTTTTTCCAGCATCTGCATCTTAGGCAATGTGACAGCGCCGTCTCATTAGTGTTGGGTTGAAAGATTCTAATTCAGCCGTTTGTGTGCCTTCTCTGGGAGCTCAGGCAGTCCTTGCAGAGGAGCTGAAGAACTTGAAGGACCAGAAGAAGAGCTTGCGCGAGGTGAGATTATTCGGCTTTTTGGATTTTTCATTCCAGACCGTAGGTTCTGTTTGTGTCAGGCTATGAAGAAAAACAAGATGGACCGCCAGTCTGCAAAGAGACGCGAAAGCCGTCTAGTCAAGGTGCATTGCGCGACGCCTGCTTGTGTAATGCCTTTTTATGTTGAAGCAGGCCGCCAAGCAGCTCTCCACAGCAGATTTGAAGCGCTTGGTCGAAGCGAAGGAGAAAGCTGACAGAGACGCCGCTGCTGCCGCGGCCGCTGCGCCGGCCGCTGCGCAAGAAGGTGTAGGTGCAGGCAAGGCGGTTGTGATTGCGTATTCCAAGTTATTCTTCATGTAGAATCCGCTTTCATTCTGTCTTGCTTTTATGGCTGGGAAGGATGAGTGACTGGCAATTCTGAGAGACGGGGCCTTGCCAAAGAGCTGTGAGCAAACCTGAACAGGCTCGCAGGCGATTTAGGTAGCGGCTCCATCATTCTGATTGCTTCAATTCTGTGGCCATTCGGGTCCGAGTAAATGGACAGACTTGCGACTCAAAGGGCCAAGGATATAGTCTTTTTGCATTCCCAGTGAAACATCGTGCAAATACGCCGAAACGCTGTCAAAATTGTGAAACGCTGTGAAACGTTGTGAAACGCAGTGAAACGCACAGTGAAACACACAGTGAAACACAGCACGAAACACGGTAATTGACACAGTTTTTTGCGTTTAGCAAGCTAGGTAGGGCTGCCGCATTCAAAAGACTTCCCACTTTTTCTTCCTGCGGGTACGAAACGTTGTAAATTACAGCGTTTCGTGGTGTGTTTCACTGCGTGTTTCACTGTGTGTTTCACTGTCAGTTGCATTGGGGGCCACACAACGCAGGGAAGCGCAAGAAGCTGCAGAACAGTAGCTGTCAATAGCTTGGCGCTGAGGTTTTGGCATGCTGCTGGGGCGAGGCATACCTGCTGAGAAAATGGCTATCAAAAGCGCCTGATATTTGACGATGGCTTCATGTGATTGTAAAATTGGCATCCGGTCATTTTGCATTATGTGGAAGCACGATGCCAACGAAACGCGCTGCTTCTTTACAAGCTGCTTCGGCTCAGGGCGCAGAGGATTTGATTTGAAACGCTGAAACAATTTTACACATCGACCTCAGCTCATAGGCCTGGCTGTGGCTGTGGTTTTACATTCTCTTGAGCTCTGTTTCCTAACACATAATGCCGCACTGCTTCGTTACAATCTTCTTGGTATTGTTGCTCTATACCTAGAGCACAGAGGAGGTAAGACGAACACTGACATTGAACAGCTTTGGATTACTAATTTTAACACGTCCCTTGGTGCAGGTGTCGAAACGGGTTTGTCTGGACCTCAGATCCGATTGTGCAGTGTGCATTCCCAGCTTTGCCTTCGGTTGAAGCTTGTTTCCAAAGACGAGCAGACATCTTTGTACTTTGTATCTAGTTTTCACCAAATTTTTCACACGGTCGTGTGGTTGAACAAATTTCTGTATGTGTGTTTCTACAATGGCAATGGATTCTAGAAACTTCCCTGGTGCTCATGTTTCACTGTTCTACACGAGTTTTGTAACAGTCTTGCTGCAAACGCTGAAGCAATTTGACACAATTGAGTGGGCTTGTTCCGACCTCAGCTCAGATTGCGCAGTTAGTACGCCTGGCCGTGGCTTTGCATTCTCTGGAGCATCGTTTCCTAACACATACGCCGCACTCAGCTTTGCCTTCCGTTGAAGACCTTTTCCAAAGACAAGCAGACGTCTTTGTACTTTGTATCTAGTTTTCAGTTTTCAATGTTTCACACGACGTGTCGTTGAACAAATTCTGTATGTGTGTTTCTACATTGGCAGTGGATTGGAACCTTCCCTTGTGCCCATGTTTCACTGTTCTACACGAGTTCTTTGACAGTGTTGCTGACATATATGATCACGGTGGGTGGCTTAGGTGTGGGCCCGCTTGACATGAGAAGGCTTATCTACAAGGCGCGGTTGCCGCTGCTGGATTCACGTCGTGGTAGCATCACGCTTCTGTTTGAAGTATTTTAGGTGGACTTCGAAGTGTTGTGTTTTCGTTTCCTTTGCCTGGCTCAAACCAACGTAAATTGCTAGAAGATTCTTGTTGAAGCTTTGGGTTTGTAGAAGTCAGTTGCCTTACAGTCTTACAGTTAGCTTGGAAAGCATGGATCCTGTGGAGCCTGCTGCGGCGTTGCCAGAAGTGACGCAAGATGTGCCAGATGCAGACACACTGAAGGAGGTAGCAGGGCGACTTGTGAGGGACCTTGACTTGCACCAGTGTAGCATCAAAGAGTGTAGAGCCAAGGTTGCAGTTGCTTGCGGGATGGAGCCTGATGGGCTGGAGGCTCGAAAGGATGAGTTCAGCGCCTTGCTGAAAGAAGTGGTGGAATCTCTTGAAGCTAAGAAAGCAAGCCAACCGTCCAGCTGTAGTGAAGAGCTTGGTGCTGAGTGCAACAAGCCGAGGAGAGCTTACCTAGTGACGTTGTCTCACACAGACAAGGAAGAGAATTCAGATGGACAAAAGTTGGTGGCTCCTGGGACTTACACCCGTGCGCAAGTCAAAGACTTTTTCTTAGGAGCTCTTGCTTCCACCCAATCAAGCAGAGAGCTGCCTCTGACCTTCACACACATGGCAGTCTTTCAGGAGCGCCACGCATCAGGTGAAGTTCATTACCATGTGGCAGTGTTAGCCGACAAGTCTTTCCGCTTCGTGGCCTTGAAGCGCCAACTGCTGGCTGCGCATGGCCTAGCCAGTCATTGGTCTGGAAAAACAGACGGGTATGCTGGCTGCATTGCCTACTGCTACTTGCCTTCGCCCACAAAAGCCGTGGAAGAATTGGATCCCGCACCTGAGTTGTGGCCTTCCACTCACCCACCTTTGTCTGAGGCCAGTAGAGGGTATGTGAGCGCCAAGAATTTGGAAGTGCATCGTGAGGAGCAAAGGCGCAAACGTGCAGCCAAAGGCAAGGGAGAGCAGCGTGTCCGGGAAGTGGATTTGTGGCCCATCATTATCCGGGAAAACATCCTGCCAGATGAAGTGTGCGGAGAAAAGTTGATGTCGTATGCCAAGCGCAGTGGTGGCCGAGCGTTGGTTGAGTTTTATTTTGCCAACTGGGACAAGCTTCCTGCCATTGTTGCCAAGTCATGGAAGACTGAGAAGGTTGAGGACTTGGTTGCAGCAGCTGCGCAGAGCCGCATGGACATCTTGGCAGGAGCTTGCAGTGCTGAGTGCACTTGTGGCGGACAATGGGCCGACTTTGCTCGAGACATCCTTTGCCAAAATGGGCACAATCCAGTCCAGTGGTGCAAGGCGGTGACGGATTCGCTTTTAGCAGGACGTTCGAAAGGCAACCTTGTGTGCCACGCAGGGTTTGAAGGTAATGAAGGCAAAAGCTTTTTGTTTCGCCCCTTGCCCTTGGTCTTTGGTGAAGACAATGTTTTCGTGACCCCTCCAAAGAGTGCCTTCCCTTTGCTTGGCTTGGAAAAGGCCAGAGTGGTTTGGCTCGATGACTGGAGGTTTAATGAGGACATCGTCTCCTGGGCGGTGCAGCTATTGTGGTTTGAAGGCGCTGGCTTTGTCATCGCAAGGCCGCAGAATTTGTTTTCCGGCCGGCCACTTGCGTTACACGAAAGACGACCCTATTTTCATTACCACCTTGCAAGCAGATTTGCATGCCTTGAAAGGGAAGCTGAAGCAGGGCGATGTCGACATGATGGTGAAGCGGCTGAAAGTGTTTGAATTCAAGCACAAAGTCAACATTCCCAGCCAGGTGGCCAAAGGTTGCAAGTCCTGTTTTGCAAATTTCGTGTTGGAGCTAGGGCAAGCAAGGAGCCACCGCTCTGAGCCTGCGAAAAGGGAGGCTACATCGTCGGGTGAGACACCTGAGCCCAAGAGAATGTTGTGTTTGGCCTGGACTGTTGATGACGTCTGCAGGTACATCATACATCTGGAGTTGGGGCATGTGATTGAAGCCTTTCGGGAGAATGGGGTGGATGGCCGCATGCTGGCATCTTTGTCCGAAGCAGATTTGATCTCTGAGCTCGGATTGAAGCCCTTGCAAGCCCGCAAAGTCAAGGACCGCTTGACTTAGAAACTTGAAAGCCCAAAGGGAAAAGATAAGTCGCCTGCATGATGTTTAAGCGCCGCAAAATGCACAACGATTCGCATTGTAGCAGTGCAGACTGCAAACCACTCACTTAACTGTATGATACGTAGGCACTTTTGTGCTCACCCGCCATCTCGCCAGGTCCACAGCTGGGAGGGGCAGCCCTTCATGTCTCGAGCTCAGATGTGTGTTTCAGAGAAGCTTCAGGCTTCAGGTTCATCGGTGCACATGCCAGCTTGCTTAGGCTGCAGTAGTCTCATTCTTCGTGTTCTTGCTGTGCGAAGAGTTTGGTGGGTTATGGCTAAGTATTCTAGCTAGCAAGTGAAGGGGGAAGCGTATTTCTAGACACTGCGCGCTTTTGCCTGCGTGATGTGTGGTGTCAAACGGTTTAGTGCACCGCGAAATGCCAACACAGCACAACGATTCGCATTGTAGCAGTGTTCAGCTTCATGATATATACGTATATTTTGTGCTCAACCGCCATCTCGCCAGGTCCACAGCTCGGAGGGGCAGCCCTTCATGTCTCGAGGTCAGATGTGTGTTTCAGGGAAGCTTCACGTTCATGGGCGCACATGTCAGCTTGGTAAGGCTGCAGTAGATTCATTCTTCGCGACATTGCTGTACGAAGTGTTTGTTTGGGTCAGGCGTCGGAAGCTCAGAGGTACAGGATGTTTGTTTCACGTTTCCCCGGTTCCATTGAATGCAAAGGTTGACTATATTGAATGCAAAGGTTGACTATATTGAATGGCTAGGTCAAGGTTTGTCTTCAGGTTCCCCTCTAACACCCCAAAGTGGCAATGTTGGTTTTCCGAAGTGAAGCACTGAGGGTTGGTCCTTTGTTTTGCCATGGGCTGAGATACAACCTGGACACCTAACCATTTTGAACAACGTTGCACAGCAGGGGGCCCGGGGGAAGTAGGACGCCTCTAGTCACAATTCTCACTTGGCTTCGAGTTTTGTGTTGGGCGTTGCTTCTTTTTCACGCAGCTTTCAGCAGTCTAGCTCTTAGCAGTGTGTGGTGTGTAGCCGCAGAGACCATGCCACCAAAAGCTAAAGCCGCCCCTAAAGCACGAGCGGCAGCCGGAGCCTCAGCTGCAGGTAATAGAATCCTGTCTTTGGTGGGAAAATGGACAAGAGGGGGTTTCCAGTTTGGGAGTCGGAATGCGGAGTGTTTTTGGCGCCGTTGCGTGCGGCCTCACCTGTAGTATTTGGTGTTTAAGAACCCGACACTTGGCTGAGCGATGATTGATACCTGTGCTGTTCCTCCTGCTGAGTTGGCTATTGTTTCTACGCGCAGGGTGCGGGCGTAATCCTTCTTAAGCACGGAACGGTTCAAATTGTTTTTGTGATCTGTTGCCGTGGTCATTACAAAAAGTCCATCTGCGAATCCAGCATTATTGGGGAATGGGTGGAGTACGTCTGAGACGAGCGTTTCTAAGTCTGTTGCTACTAGGCCATTAATTCTAGCATTGGTGTCCCAAAGCACCAATTGAAACCGCGGTGGTCGGTCAGGGAGTCCTCCAGAGGCGAAACTTCCCAGTTCCCACAGGCCGTTGATACATCTGCATAGGTCGGGGTACCGAACTGCCACGACTGAGTGGTATGTCACCGGACTAACTCTGGAACTGGAAGGGAGCATCAACCCCCAGGCATGGATGTCGCTCACTCCGGCGGTCTGAGAGTTTAAGACTGCTTGGATGTCACCAGCCATCGGGAGGAGGGTGGCGGCATGCTGCAAGATCCAGGCAAGGCGTACCAGGGATCGCGGGAGGTTGACTGTCGTGCCTTCCAGCAGTTCTGTGTCCACGAAACGGGAGTGCCGGTGCACATGCGGCTGGGCGGCTTCAAATTGAGCTCTCAGGCGTGGAAGAACAGTGTTGGCTGTTCTGAGGTCTTCCCGATAGCCACAAAAGTACTGGTGATGGACCTGTACGCAGTCCAATATGCAATCACAGCAAACAAACAACCAAAGCCACAAAGCAACACCAGAAAACAAAAGCAAAACAACCAAAAACAAACCAACCAAAAACACACCAGGAAGAGGGATTGCAACCAGCAATAGGGATTCATGCATGATGACATCTTTTGTGTCATGACAAAAATGGCCCCAAACAAGAAGCAAACCAAACAACACGACAAAAACACCAGGGGCCAAATCATTGGGTGTAAGAAGCAACAAAGCTCAATGCAGAAACCAGGGATCCCCCCAGCCAGGATCCCCGAGATCGACTGAGTTGTATGTTCATCGGTCTGTGACTCTGTGTGTTAATTAGGTACTCTCCACCCCATCTATAAGGAAGCTGGCGTGCGCTTGTTTTAAGCCCCTCTTCATAATACGACTGCAATCTGTATTGTCAGCGAGTGCACCATGCTATTCATGCCTCTGAGTTAAAATTCGAGCCGAGTTCGTCTTTCCTGTGGAGTTGCCGGTCTTGTATTAGGGCTTTCTGTGCTTCTTCTACTTCAGCTGCTCACTCTTTCTGATAATTCACCGCGCTTTGTTCCAACCGTGCTAGATCCTGCTGTTTTTTAGCTAGCTCGCTCAGCAAGTGTTCGGGGATCCACCTTCATGGCTTTCGCCAGGTTGTTACACACGTTCAACCGCAGCAAAAAATGAATTGTAAATTAGCATGCAAGGCCGTCAATTCGTCGATAGCCTCAAAAGCGCTGGTAATGGACCAATACAAAGTCCAGTGAGCAATCCCATCAAAAAGAAACCAAACCAAAAAAGAAGCAAACAGACAAACAAAAAACACACAACCACAACCAAACCAAACCAAACAGAACACAGAGGATTAGCTGTAGCTGTCGGCTTATAACTTCACGTTCTGTTACATTGGCTCGGGCCTCTACACGGATGCGCAGACTCTTTAGGCAACAGCAAGCCGTGCGTATGGCTCTGCAATCTTGCTCGTTGATTACGCCAAGGAATTCTGTTTGTTGCAATAAGGCACAGGTGTCTTCCAGTGTCCTTTGGGCATTCGTCAGTTTGCAAACATATTCTCGCAAGCGTAGGAGATCTTGTGCCTCATTGTGGCTCTGGGGTTCCTGAGGCAGGCATGCCAGTTCACTCGATTGGGCTGAATTCATATGGTAAGATGGCATTTGAGCAGTGAAAGCAGTGGATTGAGCTAAGAAAAACAGCAACGGGCGCCATGGCTTGATGTACTTTGACATCGTCCTACGCTGCCCTTAACTAGATACAAGGCGACCCGATGGCTCAGTTGGTATGGCGTTGGTCTTGCCAGCGCTGACAGACTGCCGGTGGTGGTTCGAATCCCTGCTGGTCCACTCGGGAGTCTCAAGTGCGACCCGCCGAAAGGCAACGGGCGCCGACGACAAAAAAAGCTACCCTTAACTAGATACAATTAGTGGTTACTATTGCCCCCCTCCCCCTTCCTCCCTCCCCATACTGACTAAGGCTAGCTTGCCACACAATGAGTTGCCTAAGGTGAAGGGCTGTCCTAGGTCCACTAAGTACTAGTCAACCATGGGCCCATGGTGACAGCACCTGTGTTACAGTGATCACTCGTCATGTGTGGCAACCGTGGGTACCCCACGTTAACCATTTGAGACTACTGGAACTGCACAGGCGTACCGGCGCTGGGGTGTTCATGGTTGCTGGTGCTGCTGGCAGCACTGTTTGAGGGAGGTGGGTCACTACTTCCTGCTGGCTTGATCATTTGCGCAAGTGGATGTCAGCGGGGCGTCGGCCTTACTGGCGTGGTTTCCGGCTAGCTGGGCCAGCAAGATTGCACCGTGTTTTCTAGGTGAAGCAGGCGGTGCCATCCAAGCCCCGCTAGAGGTTTCCTTCTCCTGTCCGCATCGAGTATTTGAGGGGTTGCAGAGAGAAGCGGCTGGTCAAGTTTTGCAGGCAGTTAAATTTACTGACAAAAACGCTCCAGGATTGAGCCTGGCCTTGGATGAGGAATTCCAAGCAGCTGACTGCTTTTCGGAACTCACCCGAGGATACACACATGGGGTAGTGGACCCCTATATCATGATGGGCCTGCAACCCACGGGACCCACCAGAGTCAACCTGGAAGTAATTGTACCATCCCCCAAAGGACTTACGCCTGAAATGTGGAAGCAGACAGCCACTTTGTGCCCACTTGAGTGGCCGTCCAACTATAGCCTTCTGAGATTGTGGCACACGCCCAAAAGTTTCCACCAATATGCTGCACAGCTCAAGCAACAAGTACAGCATCAACATATGTTCACTCACTGGGAGGTCAACCGCGCTAAGTTAGCAAGCAGAGTGCTGTTCCAACGACCAGCTCATTACCTACCGGAAACGATTCTGCAACAGCACGTGCGAGAGCGCGTCTTCCCTGATCGGAAACTACGCAGAAGAGCACCAGATAATGACGTGGCTACTTTTGAAGCTAAATGCAACGAACTACGTCGCTTGGCTGCAGTGAATGAAACGGAGAACCCTGTCTCCTTTGCCATTGGGAATAGCTGGAATGATACTCTCCGTGAAGAACATGGTGGGTGAGCACATCATCTGCCAGATTGAGCTTTATGTGATGGTTTTGGTGCGTTGGCTTTACAATATTCATGTACTTGTTCATGTTGTTTTTGAAGATCTTCCTTATGTACTTATTCATTTTGGCTCAAGTACATAAGGCATTCTTATGTTGCAGCTTCATCTTTTTCTTCATGACAGACCTACAGCGCGTTTTCATTCATGTTTACATGGCTTTGGCTTTGCAGTTTGTTATTTAGCTGTTTGGATTGTTTCAGGTGGTCAGGTTGGGTCATTGCATTTACTATTTCACTGTTTCTTTCATTCACCGGGCGGTCCCGGAGCGGCGTGCCATGAATCACAGGGACAAGTTCATGTAGCGGCACATATGGGGAACTCAGTTCCGAAAATTTCAGACGATTCATCAACAATTTCAGATTCGGATTGGCATGTCATTTCAGACACACCGACGGCACCACTGACTCCAGTTAGTTTTTCGATGGATCCTCGAAATCCT